TAGCGCTGCCTTTAGCTACTTTTAGCCATCTACATTTGCTTTTGGATGGCCTTCGCTAACTTTAGCTAAACGTTTGCCACTTAGCTTGCATTTAGTTATTTTTACCGTTTGTCTAGCATTTTTCTATTTTTAGCTTTTAGCTAGTGTTTTACTACTTTTGATTTTCAGTTAGTCGTTTGCTCCTTTGAGCTTTGTAACAATTACAAAACATCAAAAGTAAGAGCAGGACCTCAAAGAGCTGAAATATCTGATGTTTGGGTGGTCTCTAGTTTAAAGCCTGACGCAGGGAGAGAGATCAGCTGATTAGTGATCAGTTGTGCCATAAATATGAACAAGACGATCTTTAGTGTTTTATGTGGCCAGTTTAGAAACTTTGTAATTTCCCTTTTCAAAAAGCTACTGGAGCTGAAGCTGAGGTCGCGGCAATCTGGCACACACTATAATCCAACATGAGATCACTGGGCTATCCGTTCACACACACACACACAAAATGAACTGATTTCTCCCAAGGAATGAATAAAAACTGAACAGGATAAGAGGAACTGCATCTCCGAACACAGGAATTAGTGAGGGGTCTGCTAACCATTAGACGATGATGTGTCTCTTGGCAGGTTTTATGAATGACATCACTCCCTCAGGGCTGAGAGAGGCCCACACCGTGTTCAGAAGACATCCCAACTAACAGAAAGTGGACTACCACACTACTCAGGCTGACAACAGGTAAAACAATTAATTAAAATCTACAAGTATCAGATTAAAGATTGTACCGAGTTGTGGCTCTTGGCAGAGATAATCTTCGTAATGTCTGGGTCCCATAGGACCAGATCAGCATCCGAACCCACAGCGATGCGGCCCTTACGGGGGTACAGGTTGAAAATCTTGGCGGCGTTGGTGCTGGTCACGGCAACAAACTGGTTTTCGTCCATTTTGCCAGTCACCTGGAGCGAACCAGAACCGAGTGAGTGTTGCACATTATGGTCTTCTGGTTTATCAGCTCTCCCACTTGTTCCATCAGACCAATACGTACCACACATTTGTCCCAGATTATAGACATCCTCTCCTCGGTGCCATTGACACCCTCAGGAATTAAACTGAAGTCGTCTTTCCCCACAGCACGCTGGGCAGTATTAAAGGGACAGTGTGCACTTCCTGTCACCTGCAGGTCACCACTATAAAAAGGAAGGGGTGCAAAGAAGACAAAAAGTACTTTGTAATAAATGTGCTCCTCAGACAAATGTTTTGGGTTTGGATCAAACTTTTACCAAGACAGCAGGGAGTTGAGATAGTCTGGTGTGGTTGGGTCGGGACTCAGAGGAGGGGAAGTGACGTAAGCTGCTGCTTTGGCCCAGTTCTTGCTCCAGTAGTGTGAACCGTCCGTTCCCAGGCTAGCAGTGATCGGCTCTCCGTAAACTACAGTACCTGAAAGTCCATTATAGTAGGATCGTTGTGATTCAAGTTACAGTTTGAAAAGATCTTTATATGGACTGTAGGTGGCAATGCAAAAAGTGCATTACAGTACAATTGACCCTAAATATAAAACATGGCTCATATTTTCCCTAAAGTCACGATGAGTTAAACTGACCGAGCTTTAGATATATGTTCCAAAACTAATAAAATTCAGTCCTAGATTATAAAGATTTATAAAAAGATCAGAGTCAACAATGACAATTTTTAAAGCACTCAAAGGATAGAACAAGCAAAGGAATCAATGATTTTTTTTTTAAACTTGCCATTTATAAAAATAAAGAAATTTAGGAAGTTTGACAATTAGCACTTGAGCTTGGTGGCTATTAAAATTTCCAATGGCTTGGTAAAGATGAATACGATACAACTGTGCATCGTCAGCATAGAAGAGAAATGTTGTCAAATGACAGAACCAAAAGTAAGCTTGTATAAAGAAAACAAAAATGGACCAATAATTGGTCCCTGTGGAACTCCATGAGCATTGCTGATGGTCTGATTCATCATTATCAACAACACTGTTACTAGTAAAACAGAAGATAGTCAGTTGAGAACCTTTTTAACCCAAATAGTTTTTTGTTGTTGTTTTTAAAGATACCAAGGCAGAAATGACAAGAATTACAAAAACAGACGCGACACTGAAGTCGAGAAGTGACCAAAAACACAACAGACTGGAAAAATGAAACGTGTGGGAAATTTAAAACATTATTACAAACTAAAAATATTTGGTTTAACCATCTTACCCTTCTTCCTTGCCTGCGCGATGACATCAGCAGCGCTCTTGCTCATCACCTTGGTAACGTACAGCGGGCAGTTCGTCTGATTGGCTACAGTCACGGCACGGTTAACAGCTTCTGCCTCCACCTGGAGAACAGTTTCCTGTGAGAACTGAACTAAAAAATCTCATTTTAAAACTATTTTTACCCTCTGAGAAGACTGGGACATGCATTTCTTACCAGACATCTTTCTAAGGTCTAATAGTCCGTGTGCTCATGAATAAATAGCCGAAGCTGTGTTTTTATGCATCAGATTAAAATAATTTATGCTTTTGTAAGAAAATGTAAAAACTGAACTTAGAATTAATTAAAATAAACCAATTAAACCAACAGAGGAAGTTATCTACAACAGGTAAGATATTTTTGTTCACAGTTCCACTTAACCCTACTTCAAAACATCTGAACTGTATTAACTTTTGATACATTGGGTTGTTTAGAATAAATTTTTTTTTAAAAAGGAACTACATAGGCTGCTATACCATAAACCCAAATTAAAAAGTAATAAAAATGAGATTTTACTCTGTTAGGTTAAATTATTTGCAAAATCCTGGAAAAATGAACGGACAAAAGGTTTCCAAATCAAACGGCTGCGATCAAAACATGATGCTAGGTTGTGAAAAATCTGGTTGCTGGTTTTCTACAGGGCTAAAAAGGACATGACTGGTTAATTCGCATCCAAGTTTCTACAGAAATAAGTGTATTTCCACAAATATTGTAAAAATTATCCTTTTTTTTCCATATTTATTTCCTTTAAATGTGTTCTTCATTCTTAGCAACAAAACATAAAAAAAGGTAAAACATTTAAACTATTGAGATAAAATAACAAAACTGATCTAAGAGGAAATAACGTGGCCTCGTTCTTTTCGTATTTATTTTTAATCTGTTTTTCCAGATGTTTCTCTTTAACTTTTGATTAAAACATTAAATAGAACCTCATTAATTACAATTAAGCTCGGAACAACCAGAAGATTAGCAAGGCAACATTTTCTGCTTCGTCCCTCTGGGGCAGTGAGTAAAAACGGCTCAAGGAACAAGATTAAAAGAAAAACGGGTTTTAGCTCCAAATCAATGTTTTATTCTTATTCCAGATGTTTTGATGTAAAATCCAGCCCTTAGTTTTGGCATCTTGTTCTCATAAGCTAGACATTTTATAGTTTTTATATTAATATTTGCTTTTATTTTGTAAAAAGGTTGCACAGGAAGTGAAACGTCCACAGCTTCAATGTAAAGTGTGATTCAGGTGCGGTTTCTACAATTACAGCATGAATATGACGTGAATCGTCTTCGCCTCACCTCCTCAGGACGGCTCAACACGTGTCCTTCCGGCCCGGTGATCCCCTGCTCCAGAATCCGTCGCTGCTCCTAAACACAGATGGATATTGTGGGAAAGGTGAAACATGGAGTCCCTTAAAGGGCGCTCATGTTCCTCGGGAACAGTTTGGCTGTGGAAACTTCATGAACGTTTAACCTCGTCTGTTGAGAATTAAGAAGCCGGCGCCGTCATGACAGACGTCTGTGCTCAAGGTGCTGACCAACACGAGACGTTCTGACACAAAGTGCTTTACTCAACCTACTATTTATTTAACGCAGCAGAAATTCGTCTCATTCGACGCGCTGTACCTCGGCTACGATGTCTCCGTTCTCGGCGTGGACCTGAGCGACGGCTCCCAGATCACGGATCACACTGAACACCTCGTACACCTGCAGGAACAGAACAACGCCGATGTAAATAACGAGGAAAACGTGAATGATGAGCGCTGGATGACTTTGCCAAAGAAGCTAACGGATTTAAAATACGAGGCTAAAATGAACCAAACACAGGCTGAAACGAACAAGATAAAATCTAAACGCAGCAGAACAGTTGCTAAAATAAAAATTAACTAAACGTTGCATTTTGTAACCGTTTCCAGCCTGATGAGCATCAACAACTCTTTTTCTGAGCTCCTCAGAAATCTCCTTTTTGTTCGTGCCATGATCCACTTCTACAAACGTGATCATCATCCCATTGATTGAAAACACCTGACTCTAATCTCACCTTCAAATTAATGATAATCCTGGAGGTTTACATACTTTTACTTCTAATATTGGATCGTTTTCCTCAATAAATAAATGCCCAAGTATAATATTTTTGTCTCATTTGTTTAACTGGGTTCTCTTTATCTACTTTTAGGACTTGTGTGTAAATCTAATATTTTAGGTCATATTTATGCAGAAATATAGAAATTTATAAAGAGTTCACAAACTTTCTAGCACCACGGTATCTGTGAAACACAAAATGCAACTTATATTTCAAGTTTAGATTAAAATAATATTTCTAAAAGAAAAATTTAAAGCTGAAATGCAGCAGCTTCAATGGCGGCCCCGCGGCGTCAACTAAAACTGATCGAACTGAACTCATTTTTATGCAAATATAGAATTTAAACTTATTTTAGGTGTCGTTTCTTTTAAAGGATGCTTCAAATCTTTTTAAATATCAGGGTTTTTGTGTTTATTATTTTAAAGTCTCCTTTGAGAATTTTAAATTTAAAGGATGAAAAGAAATGAAGAGCGGAGCTCTACCTGAGCATCAGTGAGTTGGAAAACATCCTTATAGGCCAGGTAGACCAGGAAGGAGTTCACACCTGAGGGAGGAAGGACAGAAAACAGCATGAACAGAAAGCTTAAAGCAGAAGAAAAGAAAAGAACTGATTAAAAGAGTGAACATTTCTGAGAAAACATCTATAAAATAGACACTGAACTCATCATTGTATCCTTTAACTCCATGGTGCCTAATCATGGTCTTTGAGGAACACCATCCTGCATGTTTCAGTTGTTTTTCTGCTGCAGCACGCCTGATTTAGCTATTTAATGACTTCAAGTTGTGTAGAAGTCTGTTAATCATCCATTCGTTCAAATCAGATGTGTCAAAGCAGGGAAACAAGTAAAACATGCAGCATGGTGTTCCTCAAGGACCAGTGTTGGGAAGCACTGCTTTAACCAACCTCAACTATAGCACATTCCTCATCCTTTCATCTCTTTTATTCTATTTGTTGATTTTGCAAATAAAAACAATTTAAAAAATGTAATGACTAAAAAAGAAGGTTTAGGTAAGTATACATGAAAATGTTTTTTTAATAAATCTATTTTTATGCCTCCATTTAGGTCAACATGTAACCTAAAATTTGTGTCTAAATCACTCATTAAATCGGTTTATTTTTCCAATTCACAGCTCGACGCAACCCTTTTACATCCTAATGTTTATGCTTCTGTTTTATTAGTTTATAATTGAAGGCTAAAGTAGGCGGGGCTTATCTAGGTCTGTGCGGATCGGACCAATCAGAGCTTTCGCTTTATGTCAATTTAATGTTTGTTTACAGGAGCCATGATTTTGGCGTGCACAGCTAACAAACGGTTTTAAAAACCAGATCTGCCTCGTATTTAATCCTAATCTTGTTTTTAATCGTATTCTCATTCCTGTTCTTCCTGTTCTTATTCATCGTTAGCAGGTAGCTCGGGGCCGTACCGTGATCCTTCACGAGCGTCTCCATCTCGTCCTGGATGCCCCGGTGCCACTCGGTGATGTCGACGTGCAGCGAGTAGTCGCAGCAGGACTTGCTGTCGGCCCATTCACGCCACTGCTCGAAGGCGGAGAGGAGGCTGACGCCGGGCTCCGGCAGCACGTGGTCAACTGGAAAACAAAAACGTAAAAGAAGCGAGTCACACCGACACCCGTTTAGTCCACATCTGGCAGAGAAACTTGTTCCGAATGTCTCGACTGACCGTTTATTGGGCTTTAAAAGTTACTTTGGAGTAAGTTACGTCATTTACGGAGGTTCTGGGGCTCAAAATATGTTTAAAAAAACATGCTCTGCGATGTATGAAGTATTTACACAGGTTTCATTACACAGGTTTCATTACACAGGTTTCATTACATGCTTAATTACAAAGAAGAAGGCGAAAGTCATGCATTTTGTCTTTTAGTCAATAAGTCGTGATGTAACGCGTGCAGCAGCAGCAGCCGTCTTTTATAGTCAGAGTTTGGCTCCGGTTCATCAGGAAGCCTGGAGCAGAAGCATTGAACTAATTACTTCTACGACTGTGTGTGAAATGGCGCCAGTGTTCAGGGGCCACTGTGCATCGCGGTGCGGACCCGTCTGACCCTGACTGAGCCTGAGGTGACACCAGGGCGCCGGGAGGGTTTGTTTTGCTGCCATGGAGAGGATGAGCTGCTGATTCAGCAACTTACAGCTCGCTGCTTTGTTCGTCTTTAATTTAGCTGTTTTTATTCTGCTGAAGTCACCTCCAGAGTCTGCGCGTCGCCTCCAAGGTGCCACACCTTGTTGCGTTTTCCTAAATTGCTCTAAGTTTTCAAGCTTTTAGTCATTTTCTGTTTTGTTTTTTTAGAATTCGTCTGCTTTTATTAAACTTATTTTCTGTCCAGTTTGTGAGCGTGGCCGTTAAATGAAGGAAAGTGGACAAGACAAGAACAAACAGACATTTACCAACTTAAAAATAAATATGTTCAGCAGTAGAGAGCCTGAAAGTCATGTGTTTAGGATAATAGGAATGAAACACCTGAAACAGAGAGCATCACGCTTCAGCTAATTTCAGTCGACAGCTCTTTGAGCACCAACATGTTGGAGCTAAAACTCGTATCTTTGGTATTTTTCATATATTTGACTAAATAACCAGAATAAATTGTGTTTGTGACAGGATGCTGATATAAGGTCGTTTTTTGGGGGGTTTTTTGCTTGTGAGAGGCAGCACAGGGTGATGGAGGCGAGTGGAGGGAGCGATTTTATCCACCACCAGGCACAAAGGCACAGCCAGAGGGTGGCCAGTGGTGGCCTTGACCTCGTAGAATAATCTTTGGCCACCTCAATCCTTTGAGGAAACTACACTTTTAGGCAACAAAACAGTTTTCTCAAACGATAGGGGTGGTCAGTTTACATATGGGGGTGGCCATCTTGGATTTTGACGTGCAACCCAATTTTTTGGTGGTGAACTTTTTTATATCTTGTGAAGCCACACACCAAATTTTGGGAGCTGGCACCTCACTTATTTTTCAAGTGAAATCTACAACAGAGACACTAAAGTCCGAGTCTACTGTCTCAGAAATGAACCCTCGGTGTCCTCTAGTCCAGCAGGAAGCTCGATCCTTCTGCTAGGTCCGGTCTTTGAGTCGGACTCACTAATCATCGTGGATCCGCCGGCCAGCGCCGCCTTGGAGCCCTGATAGAAGTCGTCAGCGGATGTCATTCCCCGGTCGGGCATCTGGAAGCGCGTGTGCACGTCGATGCCGCCCGGCATCAACATGCGACCGTGGGCGTCGATGGTTTTCACCCCGCCGGGAACGATGAGGTTCTCCCCAATTTGCCTGAGAACAAAAAACAAAATTAAAGACTTGAGCAGAACATTGTATATAGACCATTTCATTGTTCGTTTTGTGAACGAAATTAAAGCAACGGGATAAAGAAACGTTGGTAAACTCACTTAATGACACCATCCTCCATGTAGATGTCAGCGCAGAAGGACTGGTCATCGTTCACGATCTTCGCTCCTTTGATCAAGAGGCGGTCGCTCTGGAAGCAGAGGAAGCGGATCAGACTGAGCGTTTCGACACGATTCATCAGTAAAGCTGCCGGGAATCAGAGGACTTTAAAGACACACAACTCTAAGGGCCGCGAGCCGATTTGGATGCAGGATTAAACGACATTTACTTAAACACGATGGAAAACGTCACGTAAAAGACCGGATCGACCTTGTTAGCAAAATAATATTAATCTGGCATCGGCAGAATTTACACAGCTTAGCTTTGTTAGCCTGTCTGCTGCTGCAGCTTCTTCTTTTCTGCAAATAGTTTTAAACATTATGATTTAAGCCGTGCATGTTTTCAATTATTTGTTTATTTATTAACTAATTACTTATTTGAACTACCGTATTTTCTGGTGTATAAGTCACATCAGTCAAAATAGCATCATGAAGAGAAAATTAACATATACAGGTACAAGTCGCATTTATTATGCGTTTATTTAATGGTCAAAACAGCTTAATTTCGCCTGGGCAGTGCAGCACCGTCCATGCATCCATCCATCCATCCATCCATCCATCCATCCATCCATCCATCCATCATGGCCAGAGCTGCTAGCTCTCCAGCGTTCCTCCGCCTGCACCAGCTGAGTGAAGCGAGCGCGAACGGGAGGACTCACTGTTGCAGTTCTTCGAAGTTTAAAGCGTCAGTCAAAAAGTGCATTATGAATGTGGAAGAAAAAATGTATGCAAGTCACTTCGGCGTATAAGTCGCAGGACTGACCAATCTTTGCAAAAATACTGTGACTTATACGCTGGAAAATACGGTACATGCAGATTAAATTTAGCTACAAACGTTCAGCTTTGACTGGACTTTTAGCCAAAATCAGCTCATTGGGACTTTAATGGAACGATCCGGCAAAGGAACGGCAAGAAATCTGGTTCTGGTTCTGTTCGGATCAGAACCAGATTTTATGCGACACTTGAAAACAGCAGGAAAACAATCCTGAGAAAATGCTGATCACATGAAAAACATCAATCAATCAACCTTTATTTATACATCAACGATATGGAGATGGAAAATCATAAAATACATTAAAATCATTTATTTGATTTGATTCACAACAAAAATCATTCATATCTGAAGAACTGATCATTTATTCTGTAGAGAGAAATAAACTTTGGCTCCTGTGCTGTTGGGTCACTTCAGCTCTGCCTCAACAATAAAACAGAAGCCCCGCCTCCTGACACGCCCATCTGCTCAGTTCACCGAGCTGTGATTGACAGGTGAACGGACCAATCAGAGAGGATGGAGTGATCAGTCATCCATTCCTGCTCCAACACTTGTTGTCTGTGCAGAGAGGATGAACAGTAGGAGGAGGGGGAGTCTAACCTCCCCCTCAGGAGGAGGATTACTCCCCTCAAGCCTCACTCCTGGGGGCCCCGGCCCCCTTCTTCAGAGAGGGAGTGGCAGGTCTGGTCACAAGGACTCCAGCATCCCCCGGCTAACAAAGGCTGCTCTGTTGGAGCCGCTGCCCGGCTGGCAGCTCTGGCTCTGAGGACAACTGCACCCACCCCCCACCCACCCCAACACCCCCACCTCCAGCACCCACACAGCTCAGCTCACCCACATTTGATTATTCTTTGAGGACGTGTAGAAAAACTAAAATTCTCTGTGTCTTCTCGTTATTTTGAATGAAGTACCAAAAAAACCTGATTCACTCGTTTAATTCACTTCGATACTTTTCGAACAGAGTTAGAGCCTCGCTGACTTTAAAACATTTAGCGGTGTGTTCAATCACACGCAAACAATAAGTTTGGTGTTTATCTGGACAATGTTTTCTTAGCAGGAAGAATCTGAACGGAGCACAAAACAGCTGAAAGTAGCTGAAAGTAGCTTCTTGGAAAACTCAGGATACAGAAACTTGAAAGGATTAAATGAAAGAGAAGCTTCTGTCAAACCTGCAAGTCTTTAAATGATTTGGATAAAAGTCTGAAAACTTTATTTTAGTTCCAGACTTGTTGAGCCCTCGCTCTTGACGATACGGCGTCTCGCTGATTTAAAACTCCCAACGGTGGCGGCAATTCACGAAAACGGCTTGAATACGGAGCAGATGGCGTTACAGCCAGGCTTCAGCTGATGTCGGCTACTTTGGACAGACGGCAGCAAAGCAGCTAAAGCAAACCTTTTCAGTGTGGGAATGTGTCAAAGAGCTCACAAACAGGAAGTGAAGGGAACAAACTTAACTGTAATTAAAATTTTGAAACGACTGCGCCCCAGATCCTCTGTTGATGCACGCCATGCTTATTTCCTGTAAGTTTCTGTAAAGGAGATATTTTGCTAACGGACACACAAAGTCTGCTCCAAATATTTAACGACTCAGTCGATCTGTTCAGATTATATGTTATGAACAACTCTCAGCTACTACCACACCAAACCTTAGCCGAATATCTGCAGAATTGACCGAGTTAACGCCATTGTCGAGTTTCAAAAAGTCAGTAAGCTGTGGCGGCCATCTTGGATTGGGTTGGCTCCAAACGTTAATCAGATGTAGATGTATAACCAGCGATTACGTTCTACAAGATTCCTTCAAATCCGCCCAGTGTTTCACGAGATATTTTGCTAACAGACGTGCAGAAGTTACCGCCTTCTGCCTTTCAGATAAATATATTCTGTTCCTGCTCACTCACAAACCGGATCGGTCTGTCTGTTGGTGCCAGGTGTTGATTGTGCAACGAGTTGTGCATTAGCAGCTGCAGCAAAGTATCAGAGAAGATCACAACAGCTGCAGGAAGCAAACCCACGAGCTGAAGGATGCGAGAAGGCGAGGAGCGGCTTCAGTCGGTGGACGGTCGTGAGCACATTCACTCAAATCCTAGAACTTTAAATACCGGGTCGCAATAAAGCAAAAGCTAAATCAGAAAACTAGGATTCAATCAGCCTGAATAAAGAGCTAAAAGCTAGCCGGAGGTGGGCGTAACCATGGCAACAGTTAGGGTCGGGTTGAGTTTCCTGAGCTGTCCCTTAGTTCTGCTGCTAGAGGCTTAGACTGCTGGAGGACAAACTGACCACACGTTTCACTCTGCTGCTCTCTTCACTTTTAAAAGGGAGTTTTTTCTTTCCACTGTTGCCACTGCGCTCGCTCAGGATGGGAGACTGCATCGAAGCCAAGCTTCAACTTGTCTGCTGGATTCCTGAGATAGAGAACTTTACTAATTGGCTTTTATGTGAATGTTCCTGTAAAATGTCCTGAGACAACTTTGTTGTGATTTGGCGCTTTATAAATAAACTGAATTGAATTAATAGATGATTGTGAAGGGGAGTCGTTTTTTGTAAGAGCGTCGCCTGATGATCCCTCCGAGGATTCAACATAGAATGCCTAATCCAGAATAGCATCCGTTTATTTTTAATCTCCTTCAACTTGTTTGTCTTTCACGTTCCCAGAATAACGTTTTTCTTCTGGTTTCTCTTGTTTCTGTAAATATCTGTCTTTAATCGTTCCGAGCCTCAGAACTCGGTTCTTGGACATCAAAGCTGGGGAGAGGTTGAATTTGATTTGTGCTTTTTTAAGATCTATGTGTTTTAGCTCCTTTTCTTTATAATGTTTGTTATTTGTGAGGTAAACAAATAAAATGCAAAAATCTGTGTAATGTTATTGTTTTAACTTGCACTTAACAAAAACAAATAAATAAACACAAACATGTAATGTTACAATATTTGTTGTTTTTAAAGAGCGAGAGAGATCTTGGGCTGAATCCAAGGCTGAAATAAAAAATATGTATATATTTTAAAGTATTTAAAAAAACACACATTTTTAAAATGTATTCATTTTTAACAAAATTGTATTTATTTCAGTAACTATAGCTTTATTTATTTGGACAAAGTATTCCTTGATTTTATTTATTTGTATTTGTTTATTTTTATTCATTTATTTTACTTATTCGTTTATTATTTAAAAAGAGTGTTTTAATTATATAAAATAATTAGTTATTTGTAGTTAGTTAGTTAGTTATATTAATAGTAATATTAGTTGATACATTTTAATTGGTTAGTTAGTTAGTTAGTTAGTTAGTTAGTTAGTTAGTTAGTTAGTTAGTTAGTTAGTTAGTTAGTTAGTTAGTTAGTTAGTTAGTTAGTTAGTTAGTTAGTTAGTTAGTTAGTTAGTTAGTTAGTTAGTTAGTTAGTTA